CCGTACTACTGACCCGTCCCAAATACTCTACTATATCCTACCAAGGACCACGGGCCGAACTACAGACCGGACTACAAGCCCATCATCAGTATACCGATATATTCCACAACGGTCCCTGGTTCGAAGCTTCGTTCACTGAACCCAAATATCATCCGAATCGTTTAAACAAAAATAACTACCTGCGAAAGTAGGGTGAACCCTGGTCACATCCAACCCAAAACATTCATAAGTTACTAGCAACACAAAACAATTACTACAGAAACACATTTAGAAGTTACAAGCAACCAAAAAATTACTACGGAAATACATAGGTGTGCACAGTACCCCCCACATACAGTGTCCACTCGTTCTCAGTCGACTTCCTCCTTACTGGATCAAACGGTTGTCGGTCAGCAAGACGGCAAACAGCTTCCACACCAGGTTCTTATCCCTAAAGAAGCTCCTCAGTCCACGCTCGAACCACTCCTCTGGGTGGTTAAACTTCCTCAGTTCGATTCTCATCAGAATCAAAGTCTATGCAATCTCCATGCCCATCAGTGATTTCTGATGAATCCGATGCAAGGCACTAACAATGACTGCCATCTTCGAATGTTTGCACGTCCATGAGTTCAAGTCCTGAAATGTTTTAAAAGGAAGTTTCGCACCCGTCCTCAACTCATCCTTGTTCTTCATAATCTGAATTGCTCCCCAAAAAGGGAAATCCTGTCGTACGCTCAACCTACAACCCAGAAACTTCCACTCTTCCTCACCTTCGTCCATCCTTTCAAGAATCACGTTGATGATTTCTACAACTTTCCTCCTCGAAGCTTCGCTCCCTGGTTTGTAAGCCGCGAAAATTGAAGCGTCATCGACGAAACGGAGCCCGCCAATTAGTCTCTTCTGGCTTACCAATGAAATCAAGAAATCCCATTCACTTTTCGCTCACATAAGACACGCTAATGGGGGGCTCGAGCTCTTCCCCATGGATATCCCGACTACCTGTTTCATCAGGATGCCCGAGACATTCGTAAAGCAGTACTCGAATTCAAATGCCACGAAGACGTAAATATACTTGAAATCCATCTCAATGAATCCTTCATTGTCCTTCCCCTTACTCAACTTTGCCCCTCTCCCCCGCTTCTTCACAAACACTCCATGAAATCCTTTCTCCCTAAAACACCAAATCACCCATTCCACAACTTGACGAATAGTAGCGTGAGGGAGCCTGTTAAACATATCCTTGATGTGAAATGAGGCTCCCATCACCCGCACATCCTCCCCATTTTTCACCAACTTCTGATTAATCTTAGTCAGCCTCGACTTCATCATCGAGACCAATTTAAGATTAAAATTACTCGACTCCGGCAATGAAAACAATAGGCAATTAATCGCCTGTGCCACCGTCTTACACACTTTCACTGATGGCTGATTAAATGTAGGACAGATGGGCCGAAACTTGCTGGTGTTCTTATGTTTGGGTAACGCATAGGCACACACGACCCTTCCTCGCACATTCCACTTGCCATGGCAATCCAAGTTCCTCCTCTCGTATTCAACCTTCGCGATCCGCAACTCTTCCCTCTCCTCCTTCTCACATACTCTGTACCCGTCATTCTGGAAAAGAAGTTTTTTCCATTCCTCTCGTATACAGTTATGGACACATCACCAGAGTATCCCCCGGATTTCTGTCCAGCGGGGCTAATACTAACCCTTGCTGCCGCGTCTTCACCAGTTGCACCTCGTTTAGATTGCCATTCTATCTCCGACCAGTCTCGTCGGCGAAACAACCTTCAATTTCTTCCATACTGAAGCTAACCTCACCACACGGTCTTCCCAACTCACTCGCCCAGACCCGAAACGTTTCTTCAAGTTTTTTCCTCAAGTTCTCTCCACGTCTTTCATCGTCCTGTCTTGGCACATTCTTCGCGTTCCTCACAATCGCTGAAACCCAGTCCAGTTCACCAATCCGAAAATGTACGTGCTCATCCTTCCTACGAAAGGGCGTTCCACAACAAACACAGTTGAACGCACGACGCAACGCAAAGCATCTGTGATTGTGGATGAGATCGTCAACATTCGGGCATCTAGTCCACACAATCCGTGCTCTTTGTTTCACCATTTCCCTCATTGGTTTGACCAACTGCAGTTCACCACACTTCTTCCCGACAATCCTTGTAACTTCACTCTTCTTAATCCTATCGTCAAACTGCACCTTCGCAATTATCCTCTTCCTAACGCTCATCCCACTCACATCCTTGATCACTCGCGATATCATCGACCTAGCCTTCGACTTGCTTCTCTTCGTCGTAAAGGACTTGATAGCTCCATAATACTTCATCAATTTCGTCAAGTCCAGTTTCAGCAAATCCGCCTTCCTTCTACGGTTCTTAAACATCTGCACCATATAATCCCTTAATCTTAAGATCGTCGGTGAGGCCTCTGTAATCCTCCGCAAGGTAATCGTCTCTTCGCTCTCAAAAAAATACTTGCATTTTCTCAACAGTTTTGTCCCTTTTCCCACTTTGACCCTCGTTTCCCCGAGCAACCTCCTCACGACCCTCCAACCATCTGCCCAAATCTCCCCTCCTAAGCACTTTACGACGATATCTCCTTTTTCTCTCGACTTCACTAGCGCTCTCAAGTAATCCACAATCCTCACTGTTTCCACTCCAGTTCTCCTGTCCTTTATCGTTACTATCCTACCTGTGGATCTGCTCTTTGTGTCTGTCGAAGTCCCTCTCGTACTTCTATCCTTCTTCCTCTCTTTCTTTCCTCTTCTTCTCCTTTTCTTCTTGGCTCTTCTTCTGCTTTCCTGGCTTCGAATTTAGTGATGGGGACCACAATCTAACCAGTGTTTGTTCCACTGCCTCAAGCTCTGCTTTGGAATCACTAGTATACACAGGAATTGCCACGTATTTGTGAGCACCGACCTCGTCGAGCCAGTTGTACAATCGCCGCTTTCTCTTTCCTCCGCCCTTCCTTCCTTGACAGAAGTGCCCCCGCCATCTGGCCCACAAAGCCCTCTCAGTCATTCCTACGTATACTTGCTTGTACCATGGTGATATAAGAATATACATGCAGCTCCCAGGTTTATCCAAATCAAAGGTCCCTCGCTCTATCTCCTCATGCCAGTAATTCACAAACTTTTCTCCCCATACCACACTACCGGCTAACACTAGGCCAATAACGCTTGCTCTCATTACACGTTCTTCATCTCTTGTCTTGCCTCCCTTCTTTAATCTCCTCTCACTTATCTTCTGTGCCAACACCCTGTATTCACGCTCTCCTCACTCCGATTCTTCGTCAGTCTCCGAACAACTTCCTTCCGGAGGAGCTTCTTTCTCTTCTTCCTTAAGCGCTTCACTTCCTCTTGCTCCTCGTTTAAGGGGCTTCGGCGATGATGGTAAGGGCAATGCCGCAGGGTTATAAGCGATGGCTGATCTTCGAATCACCAGTCTCTTAATAACCATCTCTCTATTGCCGGACGACACCTTCTCACGTTTGCAAGCCTCTTTAAGTTCGTCGATAGTGAGAGCATCATAAAATTCCCGACATTCTTCTTCAAACTTCTTGTATCGGAGCATCCTGCCTCTTGCTTCGACGCGCTCTTCAAAACGTCAATTCTTTTCTTGGATTCCTCCGTCAACCTCGTGCTCACTCTCTTTTCAGGAGTGACCATCGGGGGGCTATTTCCCACCAGCTTGTCCATTTCCCTCTTTCTCTTCTCGCTGATCTCCAATTTAGCTGCCCTCCGTCTGAGCAGCTTCAACTCTTCATCATCCGTATCTTCGTCTATGTTACCCTGCATGGCTATCATTCTCCGAAGCCGTTCTTTCTCCTCCTCAATTGTTTCTCCTCTCTTGTTCAATTTGGTCTTACTTTTTCCTTTTCTGATCCTCGCCCGGTAATCGTCTTCATCTTTCTTCATCTCCCCTCGGATAATCCTCAGCAATCTAGCGTCTCGTTCTTCCTCCATCCGAAATCGTTCTTCCTGCTTTAGTAGTTTCTTCCTTTCTTTCTCGTTGCGCGCTTCTTCCTCCTTCCTCTTCTTCTCCTCTTCTGCTTCTTTTTCCTGCCTCGCCTTCCTTTCTAACGCCTTCTGCACCAAATACTCCCGCATCAAGATATTGGTATCGTCCATATCAGTCCTCACCGTCCCCCCTTCCGCAGATCGGCTTCTCCTCGTGTTCTCGTCGGTCGTCACCACGGATCGCCCCATCCTTCCTGCCGGTGGAGCGTATGGAGTTCGTACAAACGGAACACCTCTAGCCCTCGCCTGCCAGTACTCGGCACACTCACGGGCAAAGTGCCCACTCTCCCCACACTTAAAACACTTTTTCCCATCTCCAACTCTCGAGCTCCCTTCCCCTACCCCCTGATTTCCGCTACTCCCGTCACTCATTGTGCACCCGTGACTTCGCACCACTGTCTCACGATCAACTCTCCTTCAAAATCTCGGACAAGCAGGCCTCCTCCCTCCCTCTTGCTGTAGTCGCCACCCCCTCCAGGTACAAACTCCTAGCGGGTTACGACCCTAAGTGCTGGAAGCAACAATCAAGTACCGCATTAGCAGTCAACAACATCGCTCAAGCATCATGGACTCACACTCGTAAGACCAACATGCACAGAACAACATAGCTGTAAACGTTATCGTAATTGCCGAAGAAATGAAACAAGGTTAACAGTGGCGTTAACGTTGTAACCGTGTAAGTTCCGATAACGATGACGTGAGCAAACCAATCACTGCGCAAACACAGCGATACCCCCCCGAGTCCGCACGTCGTCAAGTTCAATGACGTGAGCAAACCAATCACTGCGCAAACACAGTGACACCCCCCCGAGCCCGCACGTCGTCATCCATACGGACGAAAAGAACTATCCAACCGCTCCCCCGTGTCCTTATACTAGATGTCTACGTCAACTTCTAAAGTTCTTCACAAAGTCCACATACAGTACCTCCTATTGACTTCTAAAAAGTCTCACGGTCGTTGCCGGTTCGAGACCGGACAGGACCCAACTTACCTCTGAAAAAACGTGCTCCTACCTACTATGTCAAAGCCCACCTCCCCCTGGCCGTACTACTGACCCGTCCCAAATACTCTACTATATCCTACCAAGGACCACGGGCCAAACTACAGACCGGACTACAAGCCCATCATCAGTATACCAATATATTCCACAAAGGTCCCTGGTTCGAAGCTTCGTTCACTGAACCCAGATATCATCCGAATTGTCTAAACAAAAACAACTACCTGCGAAAGTAGGGTGTTCCCTGGTTACGTCCAACCCAAAACATTCAGCGAAAGAGTCGGACAGCGTCCGACGTTGAACCCCCCCAGCAAATACACTTGTCAAGGTATTAGTGCCAACATCGTAACGTGCTGGGAAACGGGCCCAACGTCCCAAATGTAAAACAAAACAAACGATGTTGCCCGGGCCATTACCTAGCTGCAGTTGAAGAGAAAAGGATTTCATAATTGGCTGATCACTCAAGAGCATAGTTGCGACGCACCAATGCCCAGTGCGGTACGGGCTGGTGCGTTGTGCGCTGGAATGATCGAGGGTGGACCCTGTGCGCAAAAAAAGAGAGAGAGAGAGAGAGAGAGAGAGAGAGAGAGAGAGAGAGAGAGAGAGAGAGAGAGAGAGAGAGAGAGACCAAAGGGTCCCCTTCACGTCAATTTGAGGGTCCCTGCAAGTACCTCGAATGGCTCCTACAATATATGTGGAGTCACTGAGGACCGCTGCTTCAACGAGAAGGATGGTCACGACCTTTGTGGAAGAGGTGGGAGCAGACCACCAATATATGCTGTGGCTTCGAGTTCAGGGCTGTAGCTCGGCAGTTATGGGTCACCAAGTCAGCTAGACCCTGTCCATGTCTCTACGTGATTCTCAGGGCCTCCCTCCACCACTCACCAAATGTATATAACATTAGTAGAATTAATCTTCTGCTAAAACATGGAACCATACACCGCCATATGCTGTCTTTTGTGGATGTGGTGAGTAGTGGTTCAGGCCCCAGTATACGTATTCTTAAGAAAACAAAAACAAAAAAGCAAGAGAGCCACAAACATCTTCATACTCCTTGATAGGGGCTCGGCGGAGAATGAGTCTCGGGTGTATCCTTCTTCGGTATACTTTTCCGTGCGCTTCGCGTCTAACCCAAGAGACTTGATTTTGTGCCTTCCATTTCCTAACTGCCGACATTCAGACCTGAATGCCAATCTTCAACATATATTGGTGGTTGGCTGGCCGTGCAAAACACATCTAGTGACTTCTGCAAAGCATTGCCGGACAGGTCGATATTGGGCAACTACCGCCTTGTTGCGAAATTTTCCCACCACTTTGTGGGATTTGCAGAAGGGAGGGGGACAACCAGTTTCCACACCCCGCCTAAAAAAAAAGTTGGAATGAGCCTTATTTTCATGTTTCGCCATTTTGAAACTTTTGGGGGAAAGACCAGTGAAAATCGAAATGCGGCAGCCCTTGCCCCAAAAAAAATTATGGGCCGGGGCGTGGCCAGTTTCTGAACTCACGTGATGAGTTGGGGGCTCAAAGAATTACAAAACCCTGTATGTTTTTCTTCTTTTTTTTTGGACCTAAATTTGCCAGTGTGGTGCGCTGTGTGGTGCGGTGCGCAACGCATGCGCAAATCCACGCACCGAAGTGCACCTCAACTATGCTCAAGAGGTACTGAGGTACTACAAGAGATTTAAGTGGGGGATGAAGGCTGCCTCTTCAGCCTTGAGAACAACAATCTAGCGAATCCAAAACTTTCAGGGGCTCGGCCCTACCGCTACCAGACCACAATGGCTGGCAGCGCCAAAAGAAACGATGAAGTGCTGCCCTCAGCAAAGCTTGGCACGCAGGAGAAATACGCCTCGGCAAAAGAAGGCTCAATGTATGTACTGGGGGTTTAAAGCACCACTATTCCTGCTGGCCTCACATTTTCTAGCCTTACGGACCGGGTTCTTAAACCACCAGCACTTCCTAAAGTCGTGCCCGTTAAGGCTAAGCGATTTTAGGACCGCCCAAATTCATCCAACTCGAAACGTTTCTACTCTATTTTTTTCGCCGGCCGATAGCCGGGCCAAGTACAACAGGGGGTGATGACCGGCAGGTGCAGGCAGGCCCGGTCCAGGGATTTTCAAGCGCCAACTTTGGCATTTTTTGTGCTCAGAAGAATCGAAGGAAAAATCTAAAAAGTTAAGATCCTGTAGATTAGATTGTGATCTTTCCAGGAAAAATGTCAATAACATAACATAAAATATTTAGACTGTGACATAAATATCACACTGTTTCGTCGCATTCTCCAATTTTGCCACTCAACCACGTGTGGGCTGACGGGAAAAGTACCCTGACTTCCACGATTTTTCACGCTCAGAAGGATAACTCGACAACTCTGCAAATTGCAGGGCCCATGGATTTGGTCAGTCTTACCACACAAAATAATCAAAAAATTATAAGAAAAAACTTCAGACCGTGAAATAATTGCCGCGCCACTTCGTCACATGTTCCATTTTTGCTGCTCTATCATGTGTCCGCCAACAGGAAAAGTACCCCGACTTCAGCAATTTTTAACGTCCAACATAATACTCTAGGGAGTCTGAAACTCGGAGGGTCCACAGATTTCGTCGTGATCTTTCTAGGAAAAATATTAAAAAAAAAATAGAAATCATTTCAGCCACGAAATAATTCACAGGGGCAATTTGATGCATTTCCCAATTTCGCCACTCCGCCAGTTCCCCCCACTGTGCTACCGGTAGCCCGTATGGACCTGTGCTACCAGTCCCCCCTAACTTAGGACAGCGAGGGTAGTGGTGGTTAAAAGGAGACATCAAATGCTATTATCAACATTGTCAGATCATCTGCAAACTTGGTTTCCACCATAGAGAATTGTAAGGCTTTAGCTCACCAGTGCTCCCGCACCTGTAGGCACTGAAGTGCACGGCCAGCTTTTCTCAACTTCCAACAGTGCGCTTTTTCCCCTTTTTTGGCTGGTGCCGTTGGGCCATTGTGGTCCGGTAGCCCCAACCCCAGGAAAGTTCGGAGTCGGTACCTCGTAATGTTCTGCAAGGCTTAGTTGAAGGTCACAGGTTCAAATCCTGTAGGATGCTGAATTCTTCGGGAGAGTGGCCGAGTGGTTAAAAGCGACAGACTGTAAATCTGTTGAAGGTTATATTGCGGTTTAAACCATCGCTACCCCCGCCTGCCGAAAGTAGGATTCCCGGAGAGTTAGAGCCGAGAAAACGTTAGGGAAGCGCTGGCGGGGCCAGTCCCAGAAAACGGTAAGGCAGCGACCGGGAAGCGCTGGCGGGGCCAGTCCCACAATTTTCAAACCCAAGTTAGACGATTTTTCAAGCTCAGAAGATTTGACGAAAAAAAACTGAAAATTGACAATCCTGTAGACTAGGAAATCCTGTGATCTATCCAGGAAAAATGTCAGAAACATAAAAACAAATAGTTTAGACCGCCAAATAAGTGCCATGCCGATTCATTGCATTTTCCATTTTTGCCACTCGACCACTTGTGGGTAGACAGGAAAAGTACCCCAACTTCTGCAATTTTTTGCAGCTCAGAAGAATGACGCAAAAGCTCTGAAAATTGGAAGGTCTGTGGATTTGGCCATGATCTGTCCAGGGAAAAAAATAAAAAATAATTTCAATTTTCAACCCCGAAATGAATCGCAGCGGCAATTTGACGCATTTTCCATTTTTGCCACTCATCCGGTTCTCCCCACTGTGCTACCGGTAGTCCTCATGAACCCAGTACCCCCCTATTTAGGCCAGCGGGGGTAGTGGTGGCTTAAAGGCGGCGTGCATTGCCTCAGTTCGGATTGTTTTTTGCAGCTCTAGAACATGAACTTGGCGTCGCTACCTTCTTCCTCCGAATACAACGTACGGTCATTATAGCTGTATCTAGACTGAAAGAGGCCTCAAATACAGCTATAACGACCGTACATTGCATTCGGGGGAAGAAGACAGTCATCGCAGATCAGCATGCCGTGATGAATATGTACTCAGGCCTTGTACACACCTCCCGTCACAACAATCAGAAGATTGTGTCGTATTCCTAGGTGTGGTTCCGGCAGTCTCTAGATCGAGGCGTCCTCTCGTAGAAATGACACTTTCATCTCCACGACGGAGAGCAAAATTCTGGAGAGCCCAATCGGTCGCCTTGACAAACTGATCTTGAAATCGTGTCGACCTGTAGACAATCATTTACATTCTACATCATCCTCGTTCCTGGCCCGTTTCCTAAAATTAATGCCTCACCCCCGTCTATTCGATGCTAGCATTGAGAAAGGCACGTTCTTTTTTTTGCTATTTTTCACTTCTTAATTGTCCTGTTACTTCCCATCATCCTTCCTGTGCTGCTTCTAATCTCAAGGATCTGACGTTTGTGGTCTCATTGCTGGCAGAATAGAGAACGTTTAAAGCGTTAGCCCATGACATCAACATAAAAGAGTTCAAAAAATCTCTGACACAATGGACAGCGCAATGGCTACCGTCTTCACCCGAATCGAACGCCCTGTCATTATAGCTGTACTTGGGGCCCTTTTCAAGTCCAGATGTAGCGAAAATGACCGGGTGTTCAATTCGGGTGAAGACGGTAGGTTAGCTGAGGGTCATCAGTCGGCCACATTGTGGCTGAAGAGGCTGTTTCCACTATCATAACGGCTTCAATACTTCGAGGGGCGCTCCACCCAATTTCCAGCAGGTGTCGCTCGCTACCAATGCACTGGAACCGTCCGTAGCAGTGGCTGCTTATATCACCACCTCTAGCTCACCCAGCAGATGTTGAAAAGAAAAAACAAGGGAGGGAGTTGAGTTGGAGAGCCGTATGATAGGTGACTATCTCGCACAGTTTGGAGGGGACTCGAGTAATCACCAAGGGTGTGAAAGTTTTGGTCGTGTCAGAGTTGGACATACCTGCTGTTGGTAGCATTACCTCCTAGAAACATATGGTTGCACTTCACCCAAAAACTGCTCCGATGACTCCGGGAATCACTGCCTGTTTTTCAAAGACTTGAACTCTTAACCCCCAAATCCAAACTTTTTTTACCGTTCTTTTAAACCAGTGAACACCAAAACCTTGTCGTCAACGACAATTCCGAGAGCAAAGTCTCGGCAAGGAAAACGAAAGTTTTTGAAAGAAACGAAGATGCCTCTCTCAAAGGCATCCCAGCAGCCGCAGTCATTGGGGGCCCGGCAAGCAATCACTGCAAATGTAGCAACCTTACCCTCCCCTCACCCTCACCTTGCCGCCACTCCCAGCTTCAAAAATGTAACAGAACGAATCCATGTAACAGAAAAAAAAAAAAGGCGAAAACCAATGAAGCCAGATGCCCGGGACTCTTGGCATAATGTCCAGGACCCAGTTTGTCCAGGATCACGGCCAAGCGGTTTTCGGCAAATTTGCATGTCAGATTGATGATCTGAGCCCAGATGCTGACTGTGCATGCCAGGAGGGTTCCACGGTAAATTTAAGAAATCCATTCCTTTTTCTTCGTTTCGCGATGCATACATCCGAGAGGAGCGGGATATGGCCAAGCAATTGGTTTTACTTTTTGTTGTCTGGATGTGACCCCCGACCGGAGCCGTTTAGTGCTAGGCACAGGTGTTTTCGCACCGGCGCACTGTCCCGCAGGGTGTCCGCCAGAAACAACCTGGAAATCCAGAGAAAACAAGCCTCGTATCCCTAATCAGCTTCACCGCACTCGAATGGAGCTATGTTCATGCCATGAAAACTTACCTGAGTTGTTTGTAATCTGCCGAGGTGGCGCTGATGTGTAAAAGCCACATTGACGAGTTGGACGTGGGATTTGTATTGCGCTGATGAGCGTTTGAACTCAGGGGACTGTGACACTCTTTGTAATCATGTTATTGATAATATAAGCTGTGCAACTTGGTTCACTTCTCATCTCTCCTTTGTCTAATGTGTGAAGGCTTCGACTCAATGTGGGTGTTGACAATGCACGTTGTGTGAGCACACTTGCGTGACTTGGTCCCCAGGACCCATGCACTTTTCACGAAGTAACCAAAATAATTAACAATACCGGAAACAGCACACATCACCCACGGCCATGTTGAATGTGACGCGTCGAAATCGTCCGCAGTCCGCCTCGTAATCAGAAAGGGTGCAATCTTACATTTTCAGCTTTTTTTATTTTCCTATCACCCGCAGATTATTATGGGAGGATTTGCAATGCTCTTTGAAATTTTGAATCTTTTTCCACTGCAAAAAAAAAATCCTAGTAGCGCCAAGTAGTGTAAAAAAAAAAAAAAAAAAAAAAAAAAAAAGCACCTACTAGGATACTACTACCTACTGCCTACTTTTCTTTCTTTAAGACTACACTATTGAATATTCTTGCCAAAAAGGAAGAGAACTTCCCAAAAAATAAAGAAAAACCAATTAAAAAAAGGCCACCTGGAAAAGCGAAACGTTCAAAAAAAAAAAAAAAAAAAAAAAGTAATGACTGTAATATAAGTAACACGTTACTAATAACCGTAAGAAAAAATAAATAAATAATAATAATAACTGTAATATGTTCAGAAAGCTACAAAGAAATATGCAAGCACTTCAAATAGAGCCAGAAAATAAATAAAACAGTTCAGAAAATGGATTTAAAAAAGGGATGGTACTTCTATTCTCAACAGGAGCTCGCTTATGTGTAGAGAATCTAGAGATCCTATTCTCTGCCATCATCTACACTTTCCTAAAAGAGTAAAAAATACTAAAAACCTTCTGCTTCCCCCCCCCCCCCTTTTCCCTCGTTTTCTTTATCTTTTGAAAATTTGGCTCCTGTCTCAGTGCATACTCACACTAGCACTTTCCTGAATGAATCTGACCACAAGTACGGCCAGTTGTGGATGCATCTGGCCACGATTACATCCAGAAAGCGTTCAAAAAAGTCCTCAGTGTCTATGCCCTTAGCAAAGCAGTTATTAAAATTGAGATTCTGATCATATATAGTTAAACAGAGCTGCCCGGTAAACCGTAGGCAGAGGGGATGTATCTGGCCACAATTACATTCGTGACAAACAAACGAAGGCTGTGACAAACTGTTTCGGCGAAATGAGATCCAAGGAAAAAGTTTGAAAAGTTGAAAAAAACATTCGTGCCGCTACCACTTTCCTGAATGAATCTGACCACAAGTACGGCCAGTTGTGGACGTATCTGGCCACAATTACATCCAGAAAGCGTTCAAAAAAGTCCTCCGTGACTATGCCCTCAGCAAAGTAGTTATTAAAATTGAGATGCTGATCACATATATATAAAAAAAAAAGATCCAAGGAAAAACTTTGAAAGGTTGAAAAAAACATTCGTGCCGCTGCCGTCCACCCACCCATGAGAGAAAAGGACAACAGCAAACACGACATCGAACTGAATAGGAGCAATGGGCGAGGCTCCGTGTGGAAGACACAAATTTAAAATTTAGAAAAAAAAAATGCAAAAAAAAAAAAATCAGCACACGACAACATTTACATGTGTGCGACAGAAAGAATTAACTGCAACATATCATTGAAACTTGAAAGTTCCTTTTTTCTTTTTTCTTTTTGGGAACATCGTTACATTGACGAAAAAGCTTAACACTATTTTTAGGACTTTACCTAGAGCTCTCCATGTTGTCCGCCACCATCACTCCGATCTGAGACGTCACCTGACGAGCTTTGTGAAACGCCGGCCACTCTATCCTTAACCCAACTCAACACATGGTCTGCGAATATGGACAGATGAGTCGATGCCTTTCTACCATAATCAACAACGTTGTCGACCGCCTTTTTCGCAATTTCCTGCCATTTTTTTGATGCCTTCGATGCAGCTGCGGAGGCTTTCTTCGCCGTCTTCGCCTGATGCTTTTTCACCATCTCAATCTGTTACAAGGACGAGCAAACCAGACATTTTTTTAACAGGACTCGAAAATGTTTTGACAAATTCAGAACTGTCACAACGGTTATATTTGATCATTTTAATTAAAAGTTACATCACATTTAGAATTAAAAATTTGAAATGAATTAACATAGCTCACTTCTGTGTAGCATCGTGTTCGCCTTCGGTGACCAAACCTGATCGTTCGCGGCTGAACGCAAATAAGCGTCAAAACCCTCCGAACGTGAACAAAAAAAACAAGAAGGTTTTTCAGAAAATCTGAAAAAAATGTATGTTAATAAGGTTATGTAAAATCTGCCTAGCATCGCGTTCAGGCTCGGTGACTGAACCCGAACGCTCGGTACCAAGCCCGAACGTGGCCCAAAATCGACCGAGCCCAAACTTTTTTATTGTTTTTTTTTATAAATATATATAGGGGTTGGGGGGCCCCTGGGGGCATTGCTCATCACTCCTGAACATATGCACACACCACACGCACCCCCCCCCACACACACACACACCCCACACACCACACACGCACGAGGACGCGTTCGGCAGCCCCCTGATTTGCGCTCGGCCGAACACGTTCGGTTCCCGCTCCGCCGAGCGTCCGAACATGTTCAGGTGCTTGGCGGGGCGCTGAACATGTTCGGGTGCTTGGCGAGGCGCTGAACATGTTCGGTGTGCTACACAGTGTAAAATAATAATACAAACAACTTTTGCCTGGGAGGTATGTTCAAATTCGTAACCAAACTCGAGTTAAAAATCAAAAACCTAAAAAACAATTTAAATTTTAAACAAAAAATTAAAAAAAATGCGTTCAACCGAACACGTTCGGGAGGCATTCGGCCAAACATCCAAACATGTTCGGGCGTTCGAGAAAGCCCCGAACATGTTCGGTGTGCTACACAGACATAGTATTAGGTACTATTAATTTATTAACCATCCCAAATTGATGTCACATCCGCAGCAAGGATGCAGCCTGTCCGGAGATCACATGACATTATTATATTTTGACGAGTTTTAAATTAAAATTTAAAACTCTCAGACGTTCACCTGTGTACAGCCTTAGTTTGAAACCGAAATATTCGCGGTCCCGAAGAGTGTTCCATCGGTCCCACGGAAATAAATTTCCAGAAAGAGGAAAACGTGTGAAAAGGGAACAAGAAGGACGGAGCAGGTGAGGTTGATGGGAAGGGTAGCATTGATTTTTATTATTATTATTATTTTTTTGTGTGTAGCATTGATTACGGGTAGCATTAGTAGTATGGATTCCGTACGTCGGGGCCTAAGTCGTCCTCCGTGCAAGCACAGATTCGAACCGGCGACCTCGGCCTCAAGAGCCAAGTCGCTTAACCACTACAGCCAGGACACGGTGTTCAAAAGTGGAATCGTACCGGTCACCCCACCCCTGCAAGGCTGTAGTGTCCAACTCAACACACACCACACACAACACCCACGGACACGGCAATTCTCGTACACTTCGCTCTGTAATCAGCACGTAACCCCCGCTGGTACTCTTACCCGCTCACACAGACGGGACTTATCAATGCCCGCGGTTCACGGACGATTCCACAGTTGTATGGATTCCGTACGTCTGGGCCTAAGTCCTCCTCCGTGCAAGCACAGATTCGAACCAGCGACCTCGGCCTCAAGAGGTTACATAAAGTCATCGGTCGATCGACGGAGCGACCTCGAGGGAGTCTTGCCCCAATGAGGCTGGATTTCAGCAGAGACCGAAACTGGTGGACGCAAGGGACTGCCCGCACCTTCTTGTCCATGGAACATTCGTTCTTCTTCTTGACGAGAGGGTGACGCCATAGCCTTGGTCCGCACGGGACTGCCACCAACTCGACGAATGGGTACCGCGGCCAACTTGACGAATGGGTATTACTAACCCTCGGTTGGTGGTGACAGGTTCTACTTTTTTTGTTTTTCAAGTTGAATTTCACTTTATGAGCAGTTGGTTCTTGATTTTCAAGTGTCAACTCCTTCGTGAATGCGACCACCGGCTGGAGTATCCGTCTGACCGCGTGTCCTCGCCGTCTTGCATGCGTGGGCTGTATGGCCGGTATTTTTGCGTACTACAATCAAATAAAATAACAATACGAAAGCGCAAAACGTCACAAAAGTTGAATAAACAAATAAATAATGTACATAACAAGACAGTTGCCGACTGTTCAGCTCGTATTTGCATTATGCCATTATGGTGAATAAACAAAAATTAAAAAAATATAATAAACAAATAAATCATATAAATGCGAGGCACAAGGCCTCGATACGCCCTACTGGGCCCCCTTTCCAGGACAGTCGGCCGCCCTAAGTGAAGGCAGGCTCGACTGAGGCCTACAGGCCTATTTTGGGGTAAACCCGCAACTGGGGAATTTCAGGCAGTTGCGCAGCGCCAGTTTGTTGAAGGCACCCAGGCCCTGGCCTTCTTTATCAAATGTATCTAAGTCAGGCCCTGGGGGAGATACGCAGCATGGACGCAACTCAGGCTGCGGGCAGTTGGGCACGGGTAACTGTCGGAGGCCCTGGGCCTGATTCGTTTGGACCGAGGCTCAGCCTCCCTGGACCTATCGGAAGCTCTGGGCCGAGGCCCAGTACCGCAGCGCAGCACGCAGCAGCAGGCCACTTCGATATAGGGAAGGGCCTGCCCACGCTTTGGTTATTCGGGCACTGGCTGCATGCTGCGCAAGCGCTGCTGCGCTAACGCTGGCCAGGCTCACGCGCTCGCGGGCGAGCTGGAAGGAGCAAGCAGCCATAGCCGAGCTGCGCTGCTGTATGCTGGATGGGGCGCATGGTGGTCCTTGGGTGCATGTGGCATCTGTGAGTTGGGGAACGAGGTTGTGAGTGATAAGAGAGACATACCTAGTGCTTGAAGCGTAACGCATTGTCCGAGATCTGCTCGTACTTCGGGTAGCTGTTGACGTCATCGGCGGCATTGTAGATTAGGGTAGATAGGATCTGCCATCTGTAGTCTGGGCGCCGAGACCAGATAGGATATCGACATTGGTTCTTCCTTTGATGATGATGAGACCTATTCCAGCATTGTCAATTATGAGCTTTTGCTGTGCTCTTATTTGGTGAAACTCGTGATGCAATTCTGCTATTGGTTCGAGGTCACGACTATCTGGTCTCATGTGTATGATGCTGTTTGATTTCTGAAGTTCGCTATTGCTCATCTTCCTTGCATAAACAAGTTAAAACGAGTACTCGGTAGGCAGTTTGCCCGCTGCCAAGGCAGGCATGCCCAGACCAAGGGGCCAGGGGGAGAGACCCACCCAGAAACACCGGGCAAGCAAAAAAAGAGCAAAGAATACCCCCTCCCTCCCCCCCCCACCCCCCAAAAAAAAACCTATCAGGGTAAACACATGCTACAGAAAGAAAATACAGTTGCTGGGCATTACCCGTCCAGCTCCCACTCAAACACAAAAGGTCAGATAGATGGATGGTGTTGAAACTTGCAAGTCAGGATCTGGCCTCACCAGGTCCTTTTTTTTTTTGTTTTTTTCTTTTACTCACCAGGTCCTCCTTGCTCGCATGCTTTAATTTGTCCTTGAAACTTAGAGGAGAGTCTCCATCGTCATCATCGTCATCATCAGATCCCAATCCCAGATCTCCCAACCTGCCCTTCTCCAGATCCTCCCTGCTGTACATTTTCATGCCAGGCATTCCAGAATCCTGGTTAAGGGAAAAAAAAAAAAAAAAAAAAAAAAAAAAACATGCATGCACACACACGGGAGTTCCCAAAGTCAGTTTTTTTTTTTTTTTTTTGTAATAAAAAGATTTAAAAGAACAACTCATCGGTGAAACACCAAGACCACATGCAGTCAGGCAAGCGGTGCCACAATAAAAATTTATTAAAAAACCAATGAATAAAGAAAAGAAACCATCAAGATCTCTCTCCAGGAATCCCGCCAAGGAAGGTGTTGAGACTTGAAATCCATTTTTTTGTTTTCTTGCCAAACAAAGTTGAGGGTTCACCCCTCGGCATAAGGCCCTGCAGCAGGTGCGTGCCCGCCCTAAAAGTGAAGCGAGAGGTTGAAACCCAACGTGAAGCGAGAGAGCACACTCGTATTGAAGCCCAGCTGCAAACGGGCCGAGCACTTTGCATATAGGAAAGAGCTCGCCAGAGGGAGGACATTCGTGCACTGGCTTGTGCAAGCGGCAGAGCATGCGGCAGAGCTGCTGGAGCATGCTCTCGCGGGCTGCTTGTGGTGCGCTAGCGGATACCGGGCGCGCGCGGGCGTCGGGGAAGAAGGCAGGGCACTGCTGAAAGGGCAGCACACCATAGCCAGCCCTACGTAGCCAGGGCTTGGCTTGGATAGCCAGTGGTGGGTGATGAAGTCAAGGGTGAGAGAGCGAGAGAGATGAAGTTGATAATGGGAGGGCACGTACCTGGTATTGGCGATGGTCTACAGAGTCGACATCTTCATGAACTTCGGTTCTAGCTGCTGACGTCGACAGGTTGCATTGTCAATTCGTAGGCTGGTAGTATCTGTGTGACTGTAGGCTGGGCGCTGAGCGCCAAGTAGGAGGAAGGGCTCCAGATACACATGTTGGTGGTGTCGAGAGTACATGCTCTCATTGACATTCCGATTCGGCGCCTTTGCTTCTCCGTTGGTGGGATATCAGTGCATTTCTGCTTTCTGGACAGCGTTGGACTTTCTGGCTTTCAATGTGATTTTGCATTCTGGAATTCTGTCATTTCGCTATTGCTCATTTTCCTTGCAAAAGAAACACAGGGGTATCGGACACTATGGGAGCAACAGAGGTGCTCCAGCTTTTTTTTTTTTTTTTTTTTTTTTTTTTGAAAAGAGGGGTATGAGAACAAGGGAAATGTATTGTTTCATTGGGATGTGACATTGTGAGGATTCAAAGGATTCTTCACGAAGTGCCCAGGACCTGCATCTCGATTTTTTTTATTTATTTTTTTAAGTGTACTTTTAATTCTTCTTGATTAATAATTAAGTTAAATTAACAATATGACAGTTCTTTTTACTATACCACATGCGTGACACACACAAAGGGACTTTCTTTCTTGAATGCCTCTCTCCATAATTACAGGCTGGTTCAGTCGAAAAACTGCTCTTGTGAGTAAAATGCCCTTTTGCTCTTCGTCTCTGAATGCAAACTCCCTTCTTTCTTTTTTCTTTTCCCTTTTTCCCTTTGCATGTGAATTTCCAGTGTCCCTTGAGAATTTGCTTTCATGGTCAGTTCCTTTCTCAATCTTCCTTTTCTCACGTTTTTTTTTTTTTTTTTAACCTCGCAAAATTAAACCAAAAAAAAAAACAAATTCGTACGAGAGAGAACGTGGTTCCGTACCTTCATGGTCTGCATCATCCTCTCCGCTTCCAATTGGGATTTGGGCTTCGGGACGAAAGCTTCCCCGCGGGACCGGTCCTGCAAACAAAAAGGGAAACAAAATACAAAAACCGAAAAAGATTCAAAAGGTACATTTCCGAAGGTAAGGTGGTGACCCCTCGAGACAAACGACACTGTCAAAATTTTGAGAGAGTCAACAAAGAAAAACGAAATCCAAAAATTCAAAAGAAGTTCAGAAATCGGAGAAAGTATAGGAAAAAGAAAGTATAGGAAGCACAGATTGTCGACAAAAAGGCAAAAAAAAGTATAGGAAAAAGAAAACAGTGCAAAATGTAATGGGATCCCTTACACCCCGCGCCCCCCCCCCCCAAGAAAAAGAAGGTATTCCATCATATTCCCGATGAAGCCATACCACTTGACAACCACAGTGAGACATTAGGAAGCACAGATTGGTTGGATTATTTTAATTTATTATTCAACATTATTCCCAATGCCAACCTTCAGGTAAAAGCTGTCTTTAGTAGCACTGTACCACAATTTTACGCATAAAAATTTGATGTTTTTCTTGTGCACGGCCGGGCCGCCGGGGCAAACAAGGTGGCCCAGGCGGTCCGGCTGGTGGCCCTGTTTTTTACATAATAAATAAATGCTTTCAACTAGTCCAGAAGGGGACCCTTACATCTGATCCGCCGGTGGATAGCAGAGATGCCAAACCTTCTTCTTCTTCTTTTTTTTTTTTTGGTTTAACCATGACTTCCTTTCAGGTTGGAAGGCGAAGTCGTAAATATAACCTATACCGCATTCTCCGGAGAGGCCGGTGGAGACCGCACTACCGGACCAGTAAGGCCGTGCTGGTGCCAGTCCAAGCAAAATTAAAACGCCACGCTGGCACTTCGGTCAAAGCGTGGCACGCAGTTCTACTCCGCCTCGGCAAAAAAGAGGATCCTTTTTTCCACCTCTTCCCCTTTTTTCCCCCTTCCCTTTCTTCTTTTTTTCCCTTTTTTTTTAATACCCAAAAGAGGCTCGGAGGCAGTGGTGTTTTAAAATCTCCAGATTGCCATCCAAATTTTGTAGTCATGATTCAGGGTGTGTACTAACTCCAGGACATTTTCGACTTTGCTGTGGACGTGATTGCAATCGGACTTATGCAAAACGGGCCGACATTGCGGTCAGGTACATTCAACAAAGTCGTCGTACGAGTATATGCCCTCACTTAAACAATTTTTTTTTCTTTTTCTTTTTAAAAAAAGCTACACTCTTCTCTCAATTTCACCTCACACGACCTACCTACCACTACTACTAATTGTAGGAATATGGGGAACCCCTTAGCAGCCAGAACCGTGTTCACGAGAGAACATGCAGGGGATGCTTCCGACCTGCAGGTGAGCGATAACGGCTAGGGGACAGCCGGTAGCATCAGCGACCATCCATGCCAACAGGACCAATCCCTGTGCCTCCCCTCAGGTGGTGGTCCCCTCCCCTACGAACATCAGCAGACTCTGCTCAATGCCGATCGGGAGATCCAGTGGTCTATCTCTGGTGGGCAAAATATTTCACACCCACGTCGATGACAGATAAAGAGGGGGGAAAAAAGAAAAAGTAATGTAGTTATGATTCAGAGTGTACTCACATCAGCCCATTTTCGACTCCGTTTGTGGTCATAATTGCGACCAGATGCATGCAGGACGGGTCAGAATTGCATTCACGTACATCCAGCAAAGTCCCCGTACGAGTATGCCCTCAAAGAAACAGAATATTCCACATCCACATCGAAAGGGAAAAAAAAAAAAAAAAAAAAAAAAAAAGAAAAGAAGTAAAGGCTCATTACCAGGGGAACAGGAGGAGTTTTGCCAGCACATGCACGGCTGAGTTTCTGGCAAAGGAGTTTTGAGACAGCCGCGCGCCGAGTATCGCCCTTGAACAACAACTCCGCCACATCAGTGTCATGATTCTCAACAACCTGTGGAGCAAAAGAGCAAAAGAGCATAAAAAAAGAACAGTCAGTGCATACTGTGTATGGTATGCTGTGCAGATAGCACATGCTATCGTGTATGGTATGCTGTGCAGATAGCACATGCTATTGTGTATGGTATGCTGTGCAGATAGCACATGCTATTGTGTATGGTATGCTGTGCAGATAGCNTATGGTATGCTGTGCAGATAGCACATGCTATTGTGTATGGTATGCTGTGCAGATAGCACATGCTATTGTGTATGGTATGCTGTGCAGATAGCACACACTATTGTGTATGGTATGCTGTGCAGATAGCACATACTATTGTGTGTGGTATGCTGTGCAGAGAGCACATACTACGTATGCTGTGCTAAGTTGCTAACCAGATAGTACGTAGAAGCTGTGCACACAGCAAAGCATACTATGTATGCTGTGCTAACCAAATAGTATGTTCTAACGGTTAGCACATACTATGTATCATGGTAATGCAGGACCCGGACACCATACCAATCCAGACGTCCGGTCGGACATCTGTCAGGACTGTGCTGTGGACTGTCCAGATTTAGAGCCTTCAGTGCCCCCACTTAAAAAAAAAAAAAAAGAAGAAAGAAAAAAAAAATCCCCGCTTTGCCCCCCCCCTTGGATTTGGCTTCGAATTTAGAGTTGATCCTCCGGCAAATTTTGATTTTGGCATTGCACTGCTACAGATTCTAGTACAGAACATATCTGTTTTTCACTGTTTTTTTTTTTTTTTTTTTTTTTTAATAATAAAACAGGTCCTTATGGCACTAGCTCCTTTCCTTTTTTTTTTTTTTTTTTTTACGAAAGTCCGGTTCCTATTCCCCCCGGCACGTCAAAATTGAATGCAACATAGTACACACACATGTTTCCTTCCGTATGGCCGAAGGACCTGTGACCAGCATTCTTTTTTTTTTCGGGGGGGAGGGGAGGGGGCGGACATCTGGACTGGACACCATACCCGGACATCCAGACCCGGACCAACTGCACTGCGATCCGCGCACGTCCGGATTGTAACCCAACAAAAAAAAAAAAAGCACAGCACCCCCCCTGCTGTGTTGTGCACTATCACACTGTGTGTTGCTCATCCTGTGAGCACATACAGTCCATGGTTTCATCATTTTCATGCATATCTATTTTTAGCACAGCACCCGAAAAAAAAAAACAAAAAAAAACAGCACCCCCCCTGCTGTTAGCACATGCTGTGCACTTTGCATGTATTATGCGGTTAGCGCACGCTGTTCCATGCCTACCATCATACGCTTGAACATAACGCACTACTATTGTGAACGTTTACAAGCTATTTTCCCGACCAAATACAGTCACGCACTACTATTGTGAACGTTTACAAGCTATTTTCCCGACCAAGTACAGTCATGATGAAGGTGTGCAGTGTTCAGGGGGGTGATGGCGGCTTCAGAGACCTGAAAGTGCAGATGCACAGAAATCAAACGACGAACTAGGTCCTTGGTCGCAAATGAAGGTTGCAAACAAATGTCCAAAAAAGGAAAACGACAGGGACAGGTTTGCGACCGGTCTCTTTCGTATGTTGGGTGTTTGGGTTGACAGACCCAACTTCCAAAACAAGAAAGAAAGAAAGAAAAAGAAGAAAAAAAAAAAGAAAAGAAAAAAAAGCCAAGAAGATCCAGCTTGCAGTACCTGACCTGGGGTTGAAAAAGGTGTACACATCCAATCGATGATAAATGTTCGATCAACAGATCACGAATTCAATTCCCAACAGATACAATAAGAAAAGAAAAATAAAAACAGGAAAAGAAGTGTCTACCCCCCTCCGAACAACCGACCCCAAAAAAGATTTAGTTTCCAGCAAAAAACTTGAAAAAGATAAAAGAGTTACACTTTCAAAAACTGAACGAGCAAGAAAAGACACCCACACCCACACCCACAACCCTTCTAGTAGATTATTGTTTGTTCTGAAATCAGTGGCTGACGCCTTCCTACACAGGAAGCCTTTTTTTTCTCTCTTTTTTAAAGTTTTTTTCCTCTCTTTTTTTTCTCTCTTTTTTTTTCTCTGCTTTTTCCTTTTTTCACATTTTTCCATTTTTCTTCTTTTTTTTTTTTCTTTTTTTTTAAAAAAAATGGATTTTTTTTTTTTTACAGAAGCCTCTATTATATGAAACCTGTGTAGCACTCCAAAGATGTTCGGCGCCCCACAGATCATCCGAGCATGTTCGGACACTCGGCAGAGCGGGAACCGAACATGTTCGGCTGAGTGCGCCCTCCCGAGTGCGGTTACTCCAGGGCACTACTGGGCCATTCCAGTCCCCGGGGGGACGGCCAACAGGGGTGGGAGAGCAGCGGGGGCAGTGGGCCGCCCATTTCGAATTCGA